GAAGTTATTTAAGAAAGAGGGAAAATGATTGGATCATTAAAATGTATTCTGCCCAACAATCTGCTGTCCAGTTAAATTAGTGATGATGAATACAAAATCAACCCTGAGGGCATGTTAATGAATGGGTCTCCATTTTCAAGAGTGTAGGGATAAAAGTGGAATAAACAGAAAGTTGGATTCAAGTCAATGAGATCTGCCAAGAAAGAACAACACATAGAAAGAGGGACAGGGGAATTGAGAGTGTACAGAACTTAGTGAGCAGTGATCACATGAAGCTACTGAGGAAAGAATGGCAGTAAGAAAATGAGTGTTAGGGTGAACTGCAACTGCCTCTTGCAACCCTGTGCTATGATTCCAATCCCCTGTATCTCTGAGTGCACCCTACCTTGGCAATGGGGATTTTGCAGGTGCAACCAAGTTGAAAATCCTAAAGGTTTCAGTAGTGTTTCAAGAACAGAAGACAGAAACACAGGAGACAGGGTAGCCAAGTGAGAATGATGACAGGTGGTAGACCTTGGCTAGGCACTTAAGAGTAAAAGGACCCCAAAGTGTGACCAGTTTCTTTCTTATCTAAAAGTTGGAAATGCCCTGAGGCATGTATGCAGCCTTGCTCATGCCAGAGGCCAAAATGCTAGAAGCATCTAAGTAAAAAATTCATCTGGTTCTGCTGTGGCCAGAGACTGGAGATGCCAGAGGGGAGAGGTGTTTCTTTACCTCCTTTCTCCTAAAGTATGGCTCCTGGAATCTATACTGAGAATTGGACTGAAACTGGGAGTTACCTGAATACCTAAAATGGAAACTGGACTGAGTGGGACCAGTTTATGTCCACTTCTCTTTCCTCCATCCACTAAAGCCTTATTAACTCCAACGCAAGGTACCCTGTTCCAGGGACCCCTCCAGCTATTTAAGAGCTCCTTATTCTTTCTCCTAAGCTCCCTATAATAAAATGCTTCTCTAAAACTCAGCTTCTCTGGTCTGTGAATTCCATTTTTTTAGATTTGCAAGACAGATACTCAAAAACAGCTGCCTTCCAGTGGCTTTGGTAGCCATTGAGTTCCTAGAACCGTAACTTCCCAAGCCAAATACAAGAGCCAAGAAAGGTTTCTATGCTTTTAAAGACAGTCAGATATTCCCATATCAATATCAGAGACAGAGATCACCTCCATGATTCCATACACCACAGAAAGCTAAAGATCCTGACTGGACCCAGGAAGTGGAAGAGGCAAGGAAGGAGCCTCCTCTATAGTTCTCAGATATGACTAGACCTACCCACTCCTTAACACACTGTGCTGGCTATTTTGTTTGTTTGTTTGTTTTTTGAGAGAGTTTCTCTGTATTGTTTTGGTGCCTGTCCTGGATCTCTCTCTGTAGACCACTTGACACAAGCTAGAATCATCTGAGAGGAGGAAATCTCTATTGAGTAAATGCCTCCATAAAATCCAGCTGTAGGGCATTTTCTTAACTAGTGATTGATGGGGAGGGCCCAGCCCCTTGTGGGTGGTACCATTGTTGAGATGGTGGTCCTGGGTTCTATAAGAAAGCAGACTGAGCAAACCATGGAGAGCAAGCCAGTAAGCGGCTCCCCACCCCATGCCCTCTGTATCAGCTCCTGTCTCCGGGTTCCTGCTCTATCCTGACTTGAAGATGAACTGTGACATGGAAATGTGAGCCAAATAACCCCTTTCCTCCCCAAGTTGCTTTTGTCATGGTGTTTCATCACGGCAACAGTAACCTGAACTAACACACACACACACACACACACACACACACACACACACACACACACACACACACACACCAAGCCCACTTCAGGAGAGCAAGAGCCAAGTGAGTCAGTAAATGAGTGAGTGAGCAAAAGAGAGAGCAAGAGAGTGAGAGTCAGCTTTTGGTTCTGTTATTTTATTTTGGTCAAGCCCTCACTGCCAGCCCTAGGTATTAGATTCACAGTCACTCCACGGGAGATTTTTCTCAGCACAGGGGGAGAGCTGAATGGCTGTCTCAGAGATGCCATGACTCCTCATTGACCTCTGACCTACCTAGAGAAAAGTTCCTTACTGTTTATTCTAATCACACTTGTTTTCCTGGGGAATTTTTACATGACCCAGATACGCACATGTATCAAATAAATCCAACATTTAATGGTGGAAAATCATAAAGAAATTTATTTCAAAGCAATTCTTTGGTATACATACAAGTTTACCAAATGTAAAAGATTAAAGGAAATTTGAATTCTAATGAGATGCATGTTTTTTTACATAAAAATTAAATCTTGGGTAATTTTTGATACTGCAGCATAGAAAGCATATTTAGTAGTTTTTAGAGTTGATTGAAACTTTGATTTTATAAACACCAATGCTGAGAATGGGTTTTTATAGAAATATAAGGTGCAAAACGGCAAAAGTATGCTAGGGCCATTTCAGAAGTTATTGGAAATTCTGTCCTAATTGCAAACCAAAATTAATTTCAGGAATTTTTAAAATGAAATTGAAGTCATCAATTCAAACATAAAGTTTCAAAACTCAAACATTTTAGCAGAATGCAGTATAAATATATGATACTTTGATGCATACTGACGAATGATACAGGGAAGCATGAAAAGTCTGTGTTTTCTTTAATTAAACCACTTTACTTCTATAAGAGCAGAAAACTCAGCCCTGTGGTCAAAACTCTGCCAACACATAACATAAAATTGCCTGGAGTCTGAGCCTGTGCTTCAAACTGCATTTGTGGGCACCGTGGGCCACACAGGCATGCTCAAGGCCAAATGGACATGCTGTGTGTGCAGAACCAAGGCTTGGGTGGAGTCTCACGATACAGCACAGCTGAACTCTGCTCAAGCACCTCAGATTTGGCACCCATTTGATTTTGAATTAACTCTGACCTTTAAACACTCAGAAACATTGTACTGTTAGCACATTTGTGTGTGTGTGTGTGTGTGTGTTTGTGTCTGTGTGTGTGTGTGTGATCCCTGCTGTTAAGGTAGGCAACCCCATTTGGTGTCTCAATGCACAGTTTAAGGAGTGGGGCTCCAGAATTTGAAGGTGAGAATGAGAATGTGCAATAGGATATGATCCAGACAAGGCTGTGTTCCAGAAGCCCTAAGAAATATGTGAAACTTAGCTACATTCTCTATAGTCATGTTGACTACAGATTGTAAAAGTAAGAAAAAGAATCCTGTTAGAGAGTGATTTGAAAAACACTGAAATAGTCCAAATTATACTAAAAGGGGAGAATTACTATTTCTTTCTTTTTGAAAAGATAAAAAGTCCTGAGTCCTTTTGATTGGTATATGCCATTCCCCCTTTGATAGCCAATGGCCACTTGTGGACATACTGGAAGACATTTGATATCTACTTACAAAGATATTTGACCCCTACTTCTGATGGCAAAGCCCAGTTTGATTGCTAAAATAAAGAACTTAGTCAAAAAACAGTCCAAACACCATTGCTTTCTTTTTATTGTTTCTCTTCTCTTCTTTTTCTCTTTTGTTGAGAAAGGGTCTTACTATATGTCCCTGGCTGGCTTTGAACTCAGAGATAGATCTGCCTTTGCCTCCAGAGTGCTGGGATTAAGAGCATGCAGCACTACACACAGTCCATTGTTTCTTTGTAAAGTTTAAGGTAAATCCAAGTTTCTTTGCTTCTTGTTTTATTACTTTGAAGTAAAATGTACTCTTTAAATTGTTGGTTAATGGGGCTGGAGAGATAGCTCAGTGGTTAAGAGCACTTGCTGCGCTTGCAGAGGATTGGGGTTTGGTTCCCAGTATTCACATAGCAGCCCAAAAAACCATGTCTAACTCCAGTTTCAGGACATCCAGTGCCCTTTTCTGGACTAGGCAGGTACTACATGCATATGGTACACATAAACTCACAGAAGCACACACACATATACATAAAAACAAAAATTAAAATTTAAAAATGGTGGTTAATCATTCTGACCACCATGGAAACTGGAATTACAACTGTGATAAAGCTCTGTTAGCTCCTTTGGGGCTTTCATATGTAATGGGCATGACATAATTAAGCATTGGACTATCCCTAGAAATCTCATTTTGAAGACCAAATATTTAGTTCCATTACGGAACATGTTGAGATTAAGTGGCCTACTCAGAGTTACAGCCCTGGAAGAACCAGGTAAACCTTGGAGAATTCCGGTGGTAAATTCCCTTACAGGTGGAAACAAAATGTAAACTAATGTTGTTCAAAATCCTCTAAAAATCATTCTCTTGGGAAAAGAATTTATTTAAGTTGCACAATTTCTCAGAGTAAGACATTCTCTTCATTCAGGATTAGGTAGCATACACAATCGAATGCCAAAAATGAAGCTGCTATTTTGTCAAATTTCAAGAATCAAGGGTTGGGTGAAAGCTACTGTTTTTTGTTTTTGTTTTTGTTTTTTTTTCTTTGAGAATGAACTCCACCTGGAAGGAGCCTGCAGAGCTTTGATTCTGACCTAAAAGTGTTCCTGCAGATTCTAGAATCCCAATGGGAGAGGAAACCATGCCAGGAATTAGCCCAAGAATATATTTTTAAATAATAGCAAACAAACAAATGCAGCACAACAAGACTGGCCCATTGATATCCCTAAGGAATGGCTGGCTGGAGAACTGCTTGGAAGAAGGGGGGTGGTCTTTGTTACAAACTTCCTTCCCCTGTCCTGGCTCCTGCTTCCTTACCCCTCCTAACCCCTGTGGAGTTGTGTTTTCTGGGATCAGCAAGTAAAAATCACAGTGGTCTTTTCTTTTTTCCTCTTTCTCCTATAAACAAAGCTTTATCACGTGTGGCCTTAAACTTTCTGCAATTTGCAAAGAAATGGCTCAAAGTCTCCAGCGCTCTCGGCACCCTGGGAGCTGAGGCGCAGGGCAGTGCCCTTGCCAGGGTGCCCAATTCCCTCCAGACTGCCAGAAAAAAAGAGGCCAACTGGAAAGGCGAAAGATTGCCCGGGTGAGACCAGACCCTTGGTCTTTTCTTTTCTCTAATCTGTTCTGTCTGTGCCCACCAGCTCTCTTGACTTGCCAGAACTACTCAGAACTGCTGTGGAGTGTTGCCTCAGTTTCTTCTTTCAGGCTGTGCCCTGTGATTCAGGCTTTTGCTGAACTTTCTGAGAACTGGCCAGCTTTGATCTCTACCTCCAGGTAAGAATGGGTTCTTTTTATTAATTAATTAATTAATTCATTCATTCATTCATTTACTAGTGTTTTTTAATTGTGTGAGCATTATGCTTTGCTCTCCTAGGATAGAAGTTGATAATTTGACATTGATTTCTGCAAGACTTTGATTTCCATGACACTTCAGTAAAAGGCAGTGGGTTCTCCTGTTAGCTGGGTCAAATAGGAAAGTCTCTCTGGTTGGATAAGCCAGGTAAATTCAGATCTGCTTTCGAATTTGGGCTTTGCTGCTTATCAGTTGGGTAGCCTCTGACAGAAACCTTAACTGCTCTTAGCCAAATCATTTTGTAAGTAGATATGATGATTTTGAAGTTGGGAGGTTATTTTAAAGATTACACTCTGAATAGAAGTAGTGCTTATGAAATGTAAATCTGATAGTAAAATCATTTGTTGTTAGGGGTGGCAGATCAGTATTCTACGAAAGGCACATTGCTCCTCACCAAAGTCCACAGGTTAGTTTTTAAGCCCTTGAAGTCAGAGCACCTGGCTAGTGCAGAGCTGTTGAGAGGGAGGGCTGGGTGTGGCTACTGTCTGACCTTCTCTGTGACAGCCCATGCAGGGTGGCTGCACAAAGCTGGTCCAGAGCATAGGGCCCTTGTATATATGTGTGACTAACTTTACTGACCTTGGCCATCTATACTCATTTAAAGACTAGATTCTCAAACCAACCCATGTGAACAGAGACTTCAACTTTAAAAAACTACTAGCTTGACTTGTTTGCTTTAGAATTTGGAGTATGTATGCCCTAACCTAGAATATTGAATGAAACTTTGCCATCTGCCTTTTTATTATTTTTTTTTTTTTTGAAAAATCTACTCAAGTGGACCAAGGATATATCAGATGCATGTCCCTCTAAACTGTGCTCTAGTCCTACTATACAAATGCAGTGGAAGAGAAGGGGTCTTGACTGCAGAAGTCTTTCCATTCATGTCATCACACTTTTCTCCCCATCCTTTCAAAGCACTGAGAAGATCACACAAGTTGAAACCTGCTTAGAACATACTGCAGTCATGCTGATTTGCATATTGGCCATTAAGATGCAGTTTTGCTTCAGCAATACTATGTAGTGTCAATTTTTTAAGAGTGTTACTTTGTCTGATCACAATATTGACCCAGATCAGGGTGTCTGCTCTTTGTCCTTACCATCCGATCACAGTAAGAATGATTGTGTCAACACACCCAGATACAAGAAGATAGCATACTCAAATATCTCAGATTTTAAAAATATTATTTCCAGTATGTTTTACCGTTTGGCATGAGCAGCTGATAATCAAACCATTTGCTCTTTGAAAGAAAGATTTAGTTCAAGTGATGTGTTGCATAATCTAGTTAACAGCTTCAAAATCATGTCTGATGGGAGGAAGTATGTTGATAGGCCCTAAAAAAATTCAAATTTTAATTGTATAGTTTCTGGAAAGAATCACATTTTGAGTTGTAAATTTACTATTATTCCTTTTGTGTTTAAAAATCTTTCTGGATATATGTTTTTATGTAGTGATATTTTTAGGTTTCTAGTGTCATAATATTTTTATGTAGAATGCATGTTTATTATGGAAAAACTAGAAAATATGCATAGACTTAATTAACATTAAAAACTTCTCTGCAATGCCATTCACCAGAAATAATGCATTTTCACTGAAGTTGCTGAAACTTTATTTCTCTGCATGGAAGTTCATTTCTTATCATTCTGTTTGTCGCACTGTTTTAAAAATACATTCTTCTCTGTTCAATTTCTGTATTTACTTCTTCACTTTACCTCCCAGTGGCTTCTAAGACCTCGTTGTGAGACATCCCCATAATGTGTTGGCCATTTAGATCATTTGGCTATTTGGATATTTTTCATCCTAAACATTGACTGTTTCTAGATGTTCTCCATCTACTGTTGGAGACTTGTTGAAATGAAACCTACTCAACATTGCAGGAGCCTGTGTTTCTCAAGTAGAGTTTGATTGTTCTTGCACAGCATTGTTTTGGATATCCAATCTCAGTAATTTAGTAGGTAGGTAAAGTTAGCACCCCAGTCTGCTGACAGTGTTTCTTAAGAGTTCTGATTTTGTTTCTGTTACTGTTGTTGTTTTTTATCAGGAATGGATGTTGAATGTTATCAACCACTATTATTATCAAATTTCTGATTTTTTAGAATAATCCCAATTAAAGTATTGAGCAATTGATTTGGTTTTGGTAACATTTTGGGGGAGTTTATCATCTATAGGTTTGTTCTGAAGTTTGTCTTTTTATGGTGTCCTCATGAAACTTCATAAAGCAGGTCCCTTCAGTTGTATCAAATAAATAGCATCAGTGAATTCATGTCATCCTCTGCTTACTTCCCTTAGAGGTGATCTCTTGATAAAGTATCCTGTCATTTACTTTATGTCTTACAGTATTTAAAAAAAAAAGCCCCTGCCCCTCTCTTTTAAACCTTGTACATTTCCCATAAAATAAAGAGTAAAGACATCTACTCCATTTTTAAATTGTTAGGGTTGTCTGCTGTTACTTTTGTGTTTCAAAATGAGTCATGCCAACATCATTCCTTGATTTTCTTTTCAAAAATGAAATGCTATCTGTGATGCCAAATGGTGGAACTTTAATAAACCAAGAAGAAGAAGAATTGGCTAACAAGGTCAAGATTGTATATACATAAGCAGAACAATCCTAAATTCTACCGCATGCATGAAGTTTTACTCCAAATATTTCTTCAGTCAGTGTAATGAGGCTTAGAAAATCTCTATTTGTGTACAAGTGGGCATCTTGTAACCAGCAGGGATAGCCATGCTGTTTTAATTTTTGAATCCTGTGGCATGCATTAGATTATCAGACAAACTCTGGCTCATGTAGAAAGCTAACAAAGTGTAGCACAGGATGTGTAAATATTAATGTTAACAGGGAGAAGTAGGGTCAGATTGTGCAAAACTGTTATGAGTTTGGTCAGGAGGAAGAGAGAGGGGAGGGTGGGAATTAAGCATGGGGAGGGTTTCCCTTCCTCTAAGGCAAACTAAAGCCTGTCCTTTCATCTAAATTCAGTCTAGGCACTAGAACTTTATCGTTCACATTCCTTCCTCATTAGCCAAGTGGTACACAAATTGGACCTCTTCCTTGTTGCCTCGTTTTAATCCTTACTTGGGTGCCACGGGAATGCTAAGGTGCTTCAGGGGTCTGGGATGGTGACAGCTTCTGCTATTCATTGAGTCTTGGAAGCCTTAATTCTAATGAATCAATATTCAAGAGGTTGGATTCCTCTTCCTCTTCCTGCTCGCGCCCAGTTTAATCTGGCGAGACCACAAAGTCAGAAAATTTCTGCCTCGTTATTTATTCCAAAGGCAACATGGAAATTTATTCTTTGCTATAATGAGGCTCAAAGTGAAGAGACTGAAAAGGAACGCTGGCTGTAGGCTCTCAATGGCAGGATTCGTTAATCAAATATCCTGTCTGATTTTAATTGAAAAATGTTGCCAACTTACTGTGGTAAGAGGGGATAGCGACCCTTTAAACTATACCTATAGAACTGTAGTCTACTGTGAAATGGAAACGTTTTCAAATTATGTAGATCAGAATTAAATTGTTGTTTCCTTTTCAAATCAACTTTGACAGGCTGGGATAAGGAACGTTTTCATAATGGACACCTCATCCAAGAAAAACGCCCATTTGTTCCACAAAAATCCAGCGCGTCCTGTCAGAAGTCAGTCCCTTAAAGTGGGGAATCCGTCCCCAGAGGAAGCACGGCGGCCGTGCTGTGGCGAACTCAAGGTAGAAGGCTTGGTGCAGTTTATATGCTGACTTCCTTCCAGATAAAATTCGGCTAGGAGAGGAAATCGCTTTCTTTTTGAACATAGGCTCCTAACTGCAAATTAGTAAGCCCACTCGCCAAGCAGTGGAATCATTTTTGCAGGCTAGATGGATTTCGTGGACTCTTTTGAAGGTCTTGTATGAACAGGGGAGACGGAGAAGCAGACATTTGTTAAAGCACTGCTCTCCACCATGTATTGTACTAAACACCCACACTGTTTTCCTTCTGAGAAAGAAAACTTTGGCTTTTCTTGTTACACAGAAAGGGACAGGTGTCTGCATGATGCAAGTCTCCCTTCTTTACAGCAAATGCTATTAATAAAATAAAATAATATTGTATTTTAATAAATATGAAACTGAATTCACATGCATACTACTTTACACATATGATTAAAATACATGTATTAAAATATAACCAGATACTGAAGAAACACTGAAAATTTAAGAATAAAGTTAACAAGTACATATCTAAAGGACTTGGTCTCAAAAAAACCAAACAAACAAAAAAGTAGACTGAACATTTCAGTGTAGGATGTTTCCTGCTAATGCAGGACTTTGATTTCAAAATGTATAATAGGCAAGGTTGAACTTGTGAGAAGATGGCACATGTATGGGTTATGATTTTCACTTCTTTTATTTCCTTACTCATCTATGGCTTTTTCCATACCACTCATTGATAGTCTCAAGTCTAGACTCTCTTTAATGTCTTTATTGGAGGGGTACGGGAGAGATGGAATCCTGCACGCAATTTACATGAAAATCAGCATGTATTTCAACTGCCAAGTAATTTAGAGGGGTTGTTTTGGGGGGAGGGGAGGAATGCTGCATGGTCTTGAGACTAATTAGAGCTGCAACAGTACTTGAATCAAACTGTCAATGGTAACACTTGCTGTTCAACATTGCTCTTCCTCTGAATTTTGTTTCCTTAGTAACTTCTGAGCTATGCCAAGCTAGTCAGACCACATGTGCCCTTTCCTGTTTTCCAGGTGTTCTTGGGTGCCCTGTCTTTTGTTTACTTTGCCAAAGCATTGGCAGAAGGCTATCTGAAGAGCACCATCACTCAGATAGAGAGAAGGTTTGATATCTCTTCCTCTCTGGTGGGAATAATTGATGGTAGTTTTGAAATCGGTAGGTATTACAGAAGCCAGACTTTCTCTTTAAGTCCCAGGTCTTTCTCTGAAACCTGCTCAATGTCATCCTTCATTGTCTGCTGAGATCCAACCTGTAAAATTCTATTTGGACAAATCTGCCAGGACCTTATGCTACATAAAGGAAACCCATTCTTTGACAGAGTAGGCAACTGATAATTTCCCTGCCGCCAGTATTTCTGACTGGACACCTTAGATGAATCAGTTACATATCTCAGAGGAGACTTTTCTTAGAGGAAGATGGGGTGCTGATTGGTGTTTGGGGTTGTGGTATGTGGGAAGCACCTCTTAGAGAAGTGAGAATGTGGGAACATGCAAAGGGATTCTGCCAAAATGTAGCCCAAATATTTAAGAAGTAGATACATATGTATTTTTCTACACAGTAGCTATGAAAGAGAGAAAGGGGATTCTATTCTATCAGCAGGAACACAAGAGCAGAGCAGACTGTAAAAACTTACAATTAGGTAGCCTCCGTTTGGCAATTGCTTAGACTCCATCTTCAAAGAGTGACTTCAATGACTGATTTGAAAGTGTTGGAAAGAGTGTGGTTCCAGTTAGTCTGCTCCCTGGATTAATAGAAATGTGAAGTATTTAGTGCCTTTTCAAAGTAAATAAAATAATCCCCTTAGTGGTCACTGATGCCATTTGGGACAAATAAAATTGCAGGGAAGTCTCTTAACTGCTTTAGTGTCAACTTTACCTCGAATGAGAAGACTATTTAAATCTTCATTTTTTTTTTTTAAATTTTGCTATTTTGATTTCATTTGTGACTTGGGATGTCACAGAGAAAGTGGGACCAATGAACATATAAACTTTTCCCTTCTGGCTTTTGCAATAAACACAGCCCTCACTTCAAAAGGGATAAGAGATAGTTTATTTTAGAGATGATGCATGACCATAACCCAGGAACACAGACTTAGGCTACTCCAAATAGTATCCTAATGTTGTAACTGTTTCATGAAGGTTTTGTTTTAAGAACAAAGAAAGCCATAAATCAAGATGCTTCCAAACATGCTGGTGGAAACACCAGGTAGGTGGTTATAGCAGAGTAGGGGAAACCCCTGCTATTGGACTAAGAGCCTGCTTGATGATGATATTAGCTTTAGGACAGGTTAGAGATCTGTTCATACAGTCAAGGGTATTTACCTACCTAGTGGTCAGGAAGATGTCAGGTCATACACAAAGCTAGGTGACAAATTACTATGTAGGAGATTAAGAAGACCTAAGATAATTTGACTCTTAACCCATAAAATTCCAACCACTAGTGTTCTAAGCAGGCTATCAGCCTTTGTAGGTAGAGAATGCCAGCTAATTATTTGTTCACAAAGATCCTGAATCAGTGCCATTCACACCTTAATGGACATAGTGTTGTCTGGGGAGTGTTAAAGTACAGGTACTGATTCTGCAGGGAGGGGACCCAAGCTTCTCTTTGTTTTTGTTTTAGATTATATTTAGTTAGTCAGTTATTTAGTTATTAATTTAGTCTGTGTGTTTGCATGTGCATACATATGTGTTCCATGGTGGACATGAGAGGTCAAAGGATACTTTGAGAGTCATTTTTCTCTTTCCACCATGTTGGCTCTCTGGATTGAACTCAAGTCATCAACTTGGTGACAAGTGCCTTTGCCTGCTGAGACATCTCACAGCAAGTCTGCGTTTCTTGTTGTCAGAAGCCATCATTGATTGCTGTTAGTCAATGACCTCGCATATATCAAGATTCTAAAATGCCTAATCATACCAGTTCCTTATATCACAGTGGCACTTCCTTCTGTCAGGTGATAGTCTGTATCATGGGAAAAAAAGGAGTATTGATAGGAAGCCAGTACCTGCTGAGAGAGGCAGAATTACGGATGGAGGGAGATGTGCCAGTGAAAATGAGATATCAGCAAGTTTAATTTTCCTTGCTCTTGGTTCTATGTAGAAACACCTTAGTGCTAGAGATGCTTAGAAATGGTGTGAACTCTCTGTTGGATTACCTCAATATATAAGGTGGAAATGGGTCCAAAATGATACCTAGTGCCAGCAGCCAGTCTCTACACACATGCAACACATGTGCACTTTCCTCCCACACACATATGTTCCCACACATGTATGAATACACACACATCCCACATACATACAACAAAAATTATATGTAATAATCTATACATGCAACAACTTGGTTGAAATTCTTTCAATTTCAATTGATTGTCCATAGAAACTCTAGCATATTCTGAATAGAAAATCACATGACTGAAATAGAAGACATTATTATATTTATTTATTTATTTATTTTTGATTCCTAAGTATGCCAGTGATTCTTGCCTTTTCTTACTCAATTGGCCTTGAGACTATGTTGAATTGAAGTGGTGATAATTAATACCATTTTCTTGTTTCTGACTTACTACAGTGCTTTTAAAACATCACTATTCAACAATAAACCTGTTGCATGGTTTTTATTTTAATTAATGTATTAATTTGTTTTGTATGGTTTTTAGTAAGCTTACTTTAAAATTTTATTACTCAGCACATTTCTCTTTCTTCTTTCTGTCTTTCACTGTTTTGATTTTCTGTGGCATGGTATCTCATTCTGTGACCCTGGCTGGCATGTAACTCACTGTGTAGGCCAGTTTGACCTCAAATAACATAGATCTGTTGGCTACAGCCTCCTGAGTGCTGGGATTGAAGTGTGCACCACCATGCTAGGCTCAGTTTTTCTTATATTTCATTTACTGGCTGCATTGAGGGATTCACTACATGTCTTCTATTCTGCAAGAAATGGTTCTTCTACCTGTTATATAGTGGCTTAATTAATGGATTTCGTCTTAGCTCCTATTCTCACTCCTGTAATGAGTCTAAGCAGGCTTCACTCACTGTTCTGTTTGTTAATAGGATATTGACCTTCCAATTCACAACTACACTTGGGCTTCAGTTGCCAATGCTCACACTTTCCTTGTTCAGTCTTTGTTTCTAGTACATAAGATAACTTTAGTTGCTTGCTTTCTTTTCTAAGATTTGAAATTTTGAATGTGTGTACATAAAAAGAAAAAAATCGAGGGGTAAATTTGGTAAAGCATTTATTAAACTTTCTGGACCTCTTATCTATTTATCAATTAGCCATGTGAAGTATGGAAGAATTTTTATATCCAATTCAGTGTGTGTGTGTGTGTGTGTGTGTGTGTGTGTGTGTGTGTGTGTGTATACACATATATATGTGATATCTGTGCAAACATGTACATACATATGTGTACACAGATACTCTGCTTGTGCAAGCATATGTGGAAGCCAGAGGTAGACGTCCAACATCTTCCTTTATTACTGTTCACTTTGTCTTTTGAGACAGAGTCTCTCACTGAACCTGGTGCTCAGAATTGTAGTTGGCTGGCTGGCCAGAAAGCCTTTGGAATTTCCTAGTCTTCACACCTCCTCCTCTGAGCCCAGTACCAGATTACTGGTGCCAGCTTCATGCCAACTTTTATGTTGGTGTTGGGGATCTGAACACAGCCAGCAGGTTATTCCCTGACCCTCTTTCCAGATGTTCCCATTCATTTTTATTTTAGACTTTAAATTATCATATATTTCTCATGTATCTCTCCTGGGAACTTTGAAAGGTTGCTATTATAGCACATACAGGAAACTTAAACTCCTGGAGATGGAACAGGTAATGAAATGGCATTATTCATTAATGTGAAAAAGAAACACCTTTGAACCCCAGTCCCTTATTTTGAGTGTTTGGTGGAGGGTACATGGAGCTATAAAAGAATTGTTATAAAATGTAAGTCAGATTTACAAACAGAAAGACATAACCAGTATAGTATCTTACACTACTTAAGTGTCAAATGTGTATTCTCATCCTTTTTTTTTAAAGCAAATTTTAAAGAGCTGAATTCTTCCAAGAGTCAAGCACATAGACCTCATTTCCAAGCTACTTTTCCCACGACCTTATTATTATCCTTCGGGCTGTAAAATTCACCACTCATTTTCCAATTGACTAACTCTGGCAGTATGTCTGAACAGTAGTAACCCAGATGATTGCTTGCAGATGGGAAATATGCTCCTGCTGTAACATGGAAACACCAAGGACAGCAAAAAGTCAGGCCACCCATTGGCCGCCACAGCCAGCCGATGGGGAAGGGTTTGCTTCTTTATCTAGACAGGAGTTCCTGCAAATGAGACTTCCCAAATGATTATAGCTAAAATGTGAAAGGTCCTTAAAATGTACACCCCTAACACAGGTTTCTCATGGTGTATTGCTGGTGTGCTCCACACCACTGTAGTTGAGCTTACTTCGCAAGTACAGGTTCCTTGACTAGACCCTGGTCCACAGCAGCAGAAATTGGATATGACAAGATGTTTACATTTTTAACAGCTTTGTATCTCCTTTTGTATCATCTCCTAGGAATTCTTTTATATAACAGAACCTGAGAAATATTCCCATAAAACATGTTGAATCATAGAGCTCAGGAGCTAGCTCATTCAGTAAAGTATCATGTAAGCATGAAGACCTGAGTTTGATGTCTGCATCCATATTAAACAAGAACAAAAATCCAAGATTGGTATTGAACCCTTTCTTGTTATTGCAGAATGAATGGGTAGAGACAGGTTATAACTTGCTGGATTACAGCCTAGCCTAAATCAGAAAGCCACAGGCCTATGAGAGGAGGCTTCATCTTATGAAACAAGGCAGACAGCATCTGAGGGCTGACACTCAAGGTTGACCTCTAATCTCCATATGCACACCAACACACACACACACACACACACACACACACACACACACACACACACACACACGAATGTGTACACATAAATGCATGCATACAAAAGTAACATGACATTTCATTAGAGCTGTTTTAGAATTATGCAATTCTTACTTTAAAACCAACATAATTTATTCAGTTTTTAAAATGCCTGTCTTGTGAAATAAAGGATCATTTTATAAATGTGAGTTTAATATTTTATTTCAGTTAAAGTGAAGTATAGTGTTTTTGTAATACCTTTCTTCAAGGAATATCAGCTTTAGAGATAATACAAAAAAATATATTTCAAAAGCAATTGGAAAACTAATAGAAACTTTAATCCAAAACATAAGTGAATGGAGAAAACTAATAAAATTTGCTGCAAAATCACTAAGAAAAATTAAAAATATCAACTAGAGGAAGCCTTGTATAATTTAGATTTATTTTTAATTTTTATTTGTGTGTGTGTGTGTGTATGTGTGTGTGTGTGTGTGTGTGTGTGTGTGTGTGTGTGTGTGTGTGTAGTGTGTCTAGGTGTGTGCGTTTGAATGCAGGTGCCCTTGGAGTTCTGATAAGGGCTTCTAATCCCCTGCAGCTGGAGTTATAGGCAGCAGTGAGCCACCCAGTGTGGGTTTGGAGAACCAACTTGGTCCTCTGTAAGAGCAGTGCACTCTCTTCCCTCCAGCCCTCTGTCTGTAATTTAATTTACTGATAAAATGCTTTTAAAAGAACAAATGACTCGGTTGGGTCAAACAAAGTGCTAGGGGGATGGTAAGTGGAATATTTTGACAAAAAAGATCGGGTGAGTGATGAGTCATGAATCTGAAGGTAATTTCCGCAGCCATTTTAGCTCACAGGACAAAGCAGCATGACAGGAAGGCTGAGTATGTTGTCTCCTTAGAGTGAAGCTTCGATAAATTTGTGTGCATCATTTGTTCGCTTCTGCTGTTGACTATTTCCTAGACCATGACTGCTTCTTCTTGCCCCCAAAGGGAATCTCCTGGTCATCACATTTGTTAGCTACTTTGGTGCTAAGCTTCACAGACCAAAAATAATAGGAGCAGGATGCCTAGTCATGGGCATGGGAACAATGCTCATCGCAGTGCCCCAGTTCTTCATGGAGAAGTAAGTCTAAAGCATCCATCTTTTTCTAACCTTTTCCTGCAGTTGCAGATCTCCTCCTCCTTTTTTTTTAAATGATAATTTTGTCTTGTTTTCATAAGGTAGATGTCTTCCTAGGTGGCTCTGGCTAGGCAGATACTTAATTTACTAAACAGCCCAAGATGACATTGAATTCACAGCCTTCCTGCCTCAGCCTCTATAGTTCTGGGATTGTGGGTATTTGTTTAAATATGTATATGTGGATGTTCTGCCTGCCTGTATCTTTGTGCAAGATGTGCATGCAGTGTCATGGAGGCCAGAAGAGGACATTGGATGCCTTTGAACTGGACTTGCAGTTGGTTGTGAACTGCCACATGGGTGCTGGGAATTGAACCCAGGTCCTCTGCAAGAGCAGCTAGTACTCTTCACTGTGAGCCATGTCTTCAGCCCCATCACTGGATATTCTTTACAGCTTTTCACAACACTGTTCATTGCTTATGGGCTTTTTGTAAATGTGCATTGTTTTATATAAACAACTTTTTATTCTGTATTCTCCAAATAAATAACATTGGTTTTACATAGATGCTAATTATGAAGGGCCACTCTGGCTGGCTGAGTTTAACATTCTTTCTCTAACCTCCACTAACTCATCTATCTAGTATTGATATAGCATAGATCCATGCTGATCATTATCTTAGACACTGTGGATAAGGGAATGGAAAGAAGTCCCCAAGCTCACGGGTCTTAGGAGGAAGAGAAAACAATACACAAATACAGAGTGCAGTGCTACGTCAGATAGGGATGTTAGCCGTAGAGAACGGGGCTGGAAAAGATGGCCAAGCCTCTAAGAGCACTTGCTGTACAAGCTGCATGTTGCACAAACACCTGTAATTCCAGCTCAGAGGCACCCAGTACCTTCTTCTGGCCTCCCTGTGAGCATGGGTGTGCACACTAGCATACACACATTCACATACTCTCATTCACAGACACACAGACACACACACACACACACACACACACACACACACACACACACGCGCGCGCGGATGACAGAGAACAACAGCCTAGTGAAGACACTTAAGAGAAGAACTGTGAAAAGACAAGGGGACTGTCACAGATTGGCTAACCCGTGAGCTCTGGTGACGTGCTCTGCCTCCCCAGTATTGGGGTTGCATATGCCCGCTGATGCACCATCATCTATCAGGATGCTAGGGATCTGAACTCAGACCTCATGCCTGCAGGTCCTTTATTGATGGACCCAGACATGGGGTGTTTAAAGGTTTATTGTGACTGTGACCACTGCTTTGAAAACTGGTACTGATGAACAAGCTTGGGATGACACAGGAAATGTGCACAGAATTCTACATGCTCAGTAAAGGCTGCCTTAGGCAGAATTTGAAAGCTGTTCAGAACTAAAACCCAACTTAAGAGCATTTATGGCTGAGGCTGGGGCTTATCCATATAAAGCACTGTCCTGTACACAAGGGAAGTGGAATCAGCCCCCAGCATGGAAAAAAAGAAAAGCAAAATGTTTTCTGCCATTATTTGGGGCTGATAACACAGGCCTGTAATACCCACTAGTCCTGAGGCTGAAGCAGGAGGATCACATAAGTTCAGGGCAGGTCTGTGTAGGCCATAGTGATTTCATGGCCAGCTCATGGCAACTTAGCAAGGGCATGTATCAACTTAAAAAGTAATTCAGGAAGTGGTGAGGGCTGGAGGGGTGAGGCTGGATTAGTTTGTAGTCAGAGTCATTACCTGGAGGGAAAAAGCCGAATTCCTGCTGGGTGAACGGCTCTAGAGCCCTGCTGCATTTTACACATTCTCTAGAACTGGCCTGTGAGTGTTCTAACGTCTCGAGTTGATATGATACTGATTTTTTCTCTGACTTGGGAACAGCCTTGGTCTTCAGCAAATGTACGTAGATACCTCTTGTTCTAAGGGAATAGATAATGGCCAGTCACTATCTTCTGCTAAAATGAGCCCGAAAATGATTCTTGCTTTTCTTTTCTGTCTCTGGTTCATGGAGGGCCTGAGAATGGCACAAAGGCAGGCAGCATCTTCTGGCCAGCCATGAGACAAGTAGCTGCTCAGTGCTGGTTTGGCTTGATGAGTCCAATTTGAAGGAAACTGCAAACCCAGCCTGACTCCCTCAGGAGTGGCAAAGCAAGCCTCTGTTTTAGCATGATGTTAGCCTGTCAGTGTAAAAATTGTCTTTGTATGCAGGTACAGCTATGAGAAATATGAGAAGTATTCTCCCTCCTCCAACCTGACTCCCAACATCTCTCCATGCCACCTAGAGTCCAGCAACCTGTCACCAAGCTCAGTCATGGGGAAGTCACAAAACAAAATACATAATGGTAAGATGGTTTTTAAAAACTGACTTGTGTAAATAAATGGTTTTTTGCTTTTATGTATGCTTTAGTTTATTAGTTTTTTTTCTCTGAAAAGCATTATTACTTGAAATACTAAAGTGTCAAAAAGTTTCTACAGTTGTGCTGAGGAGATGGCTCAGTGGGAAAGGGAGGTTGCTTTTCAAACATGAGGACCTAAGTTCAAATCCCCAGCACCCACTCACAAATCTAGGCATGTCTGCACATGCCTATAGACCCACCACAGGGGACAGGTAGGTGGGTTCCTAAAATTCACTAGCCCCCCAGCTAGAAGAGTAAGCTTCTGGTTCCGTGAGAGATTCTGTCCTGAGGTGACAGGGCAAGAATAATGGGGTACCAATATGCTCTGTCCTTTACTGGCACACAAGGATGGGCAGGCACACCTACTGTTCACATGCCTGCCCTGCTAAGCACTCTCTCACACACAAACAGCTCCTAGAGTATAAAGCTGTAAGATATGACCCCAGTAAAACACTCCAGTGTTTCAATATTATGGAAAAGAACACAAATTGTTTGTTGGTGACTAGGAACATCTATCTACCAGTGGTTCCGAGTGAGATGGGTCTTGAAATGAAAATAAAATGAATTTCACAAATAGAAACATCAATCTAAAAGGTCAGATAAGAAATGTAAATTTTTCCCATGGTTACATTTAATTCCTTCTTCATCCCCTTCACACCTAGTTAAAAATAGCTTCCACCTCCCAGTGTTGATGCGAAGACTCCAGTTATAAATTCCCGAGAACCGCTTAGCCCAGCGTGTGCCTGGGAGGGGGCGTTTAGATGTGGTAATTACTGGAGGCAGTTAACATCCTTGGTTTTATTAGAGTGCCGGAACTCTGTGAAGCGGTCTTTCATTTATGTGACTGACATAACTGCTCTGCCTCATATGGTCAGATTATGGCATGACATTTATTAATGTATCCTTAAATAGTCAGCTTTAGATTCAGCCCTAAAAATATTGTCAAAAAATCTTTTACCTTGGTTGGAAGATGTGGACTGCTGAAGAATATAAGATGTATAACTTTTATATGGCTTGTTTCTAGAATTCTAAAAATAGTTGATTACTACCAGATATAACTGTAGGCAATACAGCCCAGTGTGGCACTGATCAGCCACATAAACATTTGAGTTTCAGGTAGAACTTGGACAACAATGAAAAACTACTTGTGATTGAAAATTATACAATTTTGATTAAATGTAGATGTGGATAAGTTTTGTTCATGACCTGTTTTGCCTCAGATAACATGCTGACAGGTATCTCTGTGTAGTATCTCATCCAAAATCTTAATAGATTAGCACTGTGGCAGATTTTGATTCCGCTTTCTAATTAGTTTAAAACCGAGTATAGAAATGTAGAAATAATATTTTAACATCAACAGTGAGCTAGTTCTAGTCCTCTTCTTTGCCTTTCTTTCTAGAATGTGAAGGGGATGCCAGCTCCTCCATGTGGGTTTATGTCTTCCTGGGAAATCTCCTGCGAGGATTAGGGGAAACTCCCATCCAACCCCTCGGTATCGCCTATCTGGATGACTTTGCCAGTGAGGATAACGCTGCGTTCTACATTGGTAATGCCCACCTCATCCCGCATAAGAAGTGGGGTGCCTGTGCCCCCTTTCCGTCTATTCCAAATTTAGCATTGAAGGTTTTAGTGCTCAGGCTCCATGCCTTCTTTTTCACTCAGCTATCACATGTCTGAAATACACAAAGGATTTGTACAGTGAAGGCACTTCATTAATCAGTGTCTGTTGCACAAGGAAAAGAACACCAAACGAGAAAAAGATAGCTGTGACCTCAACTGCAATGGCATGGGACCTTCTGAAGGCATCTTGGGGACTTCAGAGTTCAGAGACTGTTTTTGATGTTCTGTTATTGTTGTTATTGGTTTGGTGTGTGTGTGTGTGTGTGTGTGTGTGTGTGTGTGTGTGTGTGTGTGCGTGTGTTCATGTGTGTCTGTTGTTTCTGCAGTTCTAGAAACTGCCTTGCATTATAAAAGCTCTGGTTAACTGAAGGATATTTTATTTTATTTTATTTTTTCCTATTTGAGATAGGAAGGAATTCTGGAACCTTGAGAGCAGGTATAAATGACTGAAAAGAAATATAAAGAGAACATAAGCAAGGCTCAAGGCTACCCCATCTGTAGATCAGCAGCAGTCCCCAGTATATACTACAAAAGAAGGTCAAATGCATTGGAAAATCTTCCCCACAAAATTGTATAGCAGAAGTGAACTCTTAAGGTCAGATACATCCAAGCACTATTTAATGGGTGTCTTACACCTGGAATTCAGCTACAAATTAGAACTGCAGGGATGACTATTTTGTCTTCTGTGTTTCATACATCAGTTTTGATTTCTTGGAATTCTGATCTTTTGAATGTGTAGCCTTTGGAGACAAAGGACAAGACTGAAGGAGAGGCTACACCAAGAATCACTGTGTTTCTGGGCACATACCACAGAAATCCCTGATATCCTGCATATACCAGTACAGACTTAAATTAAGAACAGGCTCTCGCTCTGATGGAAAACTGGAGCATAACTCAGGAGTGAAAGAAAGACTAGATGGGGGTGCACTAAGCATCGCTCCCGAAGCTGGCTAGGATTTACCTTCCTCTGGAGGTGCTCAGAGGCTACACAAGGTCTTACACTTGCTTCTATTCTGAAAGAGGCCAATGAATGGCTCTCCATGCCTCCAGTTCATGTAATCTCCCAGGAATATGCGTGTTTTTGTTGAGGGAATGGCCCATGGGAGACACTTTCCTGAGCAGGACAACCTTTCTGCTTACTAGTGACACTGTCCTCTGTAACCTGCTCCCATCATCCGTCAGGCTACCCCTGACCTGTGGTGAGCTTTCTAGAAAAACTTAACTTGCTCCAAAATCTACCTCCTTTGCTAACTCCTTCCTGAGACAACACTCTCTCCACAGTGCTTCCTCACAAGCTCCGCATGAATGAGCAAGCGCTCTTTATTACCAAGTTGGGAAAAATCCATTTTAATGTCAAAACAGAACTTATGCTTAACTAACCATGAACAATTTTTTTGCAAGATTACCAAATTAGTGCAGTTCTGTTTTCTTTGTTTGTTTTTTATCTCAAGTGGCCGATAGCTCCTTCCTCCACCTCTCAAGGACTAGGATTCCTAAACTGTGGACAACAACAAATGTTAGAACTAAAGTTTGCTTCATGTTTGGAATTTAAATTTGTCAGGGTCTTGTGTTAGAAGTAATGGTTTTCTCCCCAAATAAAGAAGGACTTATTTCCCAGTGCATTGAAACAGTAGCCAATGACACTCGCATAAATAAGGTGCTGAGGTATTTAATATGCAGCTGCCAATGGCATCTCAGTTATATTTCCTGCTTAGCACTTTATTAATTTATCAAGGCAAAGCCAAATGGTAGGTATTCTTATTTTTTTCTCTTATCTCCTTCCCTTCTTAATATGTTTTATTTGGGTTTGTTTGCTTTTTTCTACAGGATGTGTGCAGACCGTGGCAATTATAGGGCCCATTTTTGGCTTCCTCTTGGGTTCATTATGCGCCAAACTGTATGTTGACATTGGCTTTGTGAATCTAGGTAAGTAGGTTTATTAATTAATTAATTAAATTACACTTCTCTCTGTGTGTATATTCCATCATGTACTTGTGAAGATCAGTGAACAACTCGGTTGTCACCTTTTACCAGGTGGGTGCGGAGAAGGAACTCAGATGCCCAGGCTTGGTACACACTAAGCCATCTTGCCAACCTGAATTTATTTTTATTTATTCATTAATTTTAACTACTATAATTTTAATGGGACTAAGAAAAAATACCAAATTTTGTTTTTGTTTTTTAAATTTTTTTAAAAAAATGTATGTGTATAAATATTTGTATGCATATATATATGTACACTAAATGAGTGCTCACTACTGAAGGAGGACAGAAGAAGCTGTCAGATGCCCTGAAATCAGAGTTACAGACAGTTATGAGCTACCATATGGGTGCTGATAATGCAACCCAATCCTCTACAAAATCAGCAAGTGCTCCTAACCACTGAGCCATCACTCCAGTCTGAAAATTTTGCTTTTAGTACAATGGCCAGGTGGCATTCTTTCCTAAAACAAAAACAGTCCGTGGAATACACATTGATGCTGAAGATGTGGGTGTTAATGGGTACAGAAGGATAAACAGGTAATGATTAGAACAAGGTGACCTGTGGTCTGTTAAGAAGGCAGATTGTCTTCTGCAGCTGCCAGTTCAAATACACCTAGCACAGTTCAGGCTCAAAACTGTGGCTCCTGCTGGCTCTCGCTGGTCTCAGATGTGTCAACATTTGTTATAGTGATATCAACCAATAAAGAAAACACACAGGAGTGAAAGTCTCTAGTGACCACACTTCCCTCTCTCCTACTCTTAGCCTCTCTCCCCTGCCTTTTCTCCAACTAGGCAATTATCTGGGGGAGTGGCAGCCATTATTCTTTGAGGACAGTCTTAGACATTCAATAAATTAATCAGATGCAAGTACTTCTGAAGGAGCACCTGGCTATAGGGTGTTTCACCTGCTGTGCTCCAGGCATAGCCCCAGAGCACACTATAATGACAAAGCCTTTCACAGCCTTTAGTCTCTGACTCTTGAACCCACGATTCAAACAGAGAAACTAAAGTCCTCCAGGAACACCTTTCCTGGAGATCAGGTGTGTGTGTGTGTGTGTGTGTGTGTGTGTGTGTGTGTGTGTGTGTGTGTTCTGGGGAATCTGAACTTTGGTCCTCATTCTCTGAGCCATCTCCCTGACCCTGTTGGGTAGTTTTTTTTTTATGATGTGGTAGAATTGTTGCTAGAACTTGTTTTCTGCAGTAACTCATTTCAACACCCTAACCTTGAAAAAGTTGCTACTTAACAAACCTCTGTCTTTCAGACCACATAACCATCACCCCGAAGGATCCCCAGTGGGTTGGGGCCTGGTGGCTTGGTTACCTAATAGCAGGGTTCCTAAGTCTCCTTGCAGCTGTGCCTTTCTGGTGCTTACCCAAGACTCTACCCAGAGCTCAAAGTAGAGAGGACTCTGGATCCTCATCTGAGAAGTCCAAGTTCATCATAGATGACCCTATTAACTACCAAATGGCCCCTGGAGAAGAAATGAAATTCATGGAAATGGCAAGAAGTAAGTCAGATTCTCTTTGATCATGGACTACTACTGTCCATCTTCCTAGTGGGACTTGAGGAAGTGTATGAATAATAGTACTTGGCTCCCCTGTCTGAAAGAAATGTTAAAAAGCCATACAGGAAGCAGAAATGGGGAAAGAAAGTCATTTTTTTCTGATTTTTCCATTTATTCCAGAAGCTTATATTTTTGTTGATTTTACATACCAACCACAGATCCCCCTCTCATTCCTCCTTCTTCCTCCTGCTCCCCCTCCTTTACCCCTCCCCTCCCCCTCATCCACTCCTCCAACGGGGTAAGTTCTCCCATGAGGGGACAGCTAAGCCTGGTACATTCAGTTGAGGCCGGACCAAGGCCCTCTCCGTTTTATCAGGCAGTGTGATCAGGATCTATGCCTGGTGCATGAGCAGGCTTTGTGGATCCCATTACCTATGGTCTTATTGAAAAAGTTATGCAGATAGATGAGCAAAAGTCCTGCATATTTTCCTTTTGGGTGGCTCTACCCTCTCACACACCATTGTTCTTCTCCATAGTAGCTGCTCAGCAGAAGTCTGAGTAGACAGAAAAGAAGAGGCTATAACTCCATGTCTGAGAGCCTTTTACACGTAAGATCCACCTGTTTGAACAATATATAGAAATGTGTGTCTCAGCAAGGGTGTAAGTGCAAGGCAGGCAAAGGCCAGGAATGTTCTCAGGAGTTCTTCTCAGGGAAGATGATGACTGAGAAATTGTCCCCATCTCTTTCTTTTCAAGCAATCCTGTATTTATGTTTAAAGACATTCTTCAACTTGTTGAAGTTAATTGCCTGAATGATGGGAGGATGAGAGTAGGAGAAAGGTCCATTTAACACCAAGGTACACCCACTAAAGGAGACAGCTATGAACTATGTTGGAAGAAAGAGACTCACATGGAAGTTCCTGATGTCCAGCCTAGGGCTTCTAGATGGAGGATGAGGAGAAATGCTCTGCCCTTGTCACTGACACATCAGCTGGTGGGGTCTGTCCCTGTCTTACTTATTGGTCCTACATAGTGTTCCTGTAGGAGTGTATGTGCCCAGATTCAAACCCAGGCAGACTGCAGTACTGAAGATTGCAATGTCTACTACCTGAGACCCTGTCTTTAAGGACTCCATATTGTTTTTGTCTTACAGATTTTCTTCCATCACTGAAGACTCTTCTTAGAAATCCAGTATACATCTTATACCTGTGTGCAAGCACCGTTCAGTTCAATTCTCTATTTGGCATGGTGACATATAAACCAAAGTACATTGAGCAGCAGTATGGGCAGTCATCCTCCAAAGCCAACTTTGTCATTGGTATGCCTGCCTGTCTGTCATGTGTTCCCATAGAAACTATCTTTGATGAAGCTTGCACATTCTTAGTAATATTAGATTGCTCTAGTTTTTAACCTAGAGTAATTGGGGTATTTTAGATGAAGTAAAGTAGCAAACTTTTAAAACTCTAGCATACACACAGTGGGTGGGTATTATAATTTTGCAACAAGGATTATTTGTGACTGTGATTGGTTGGCTTTGAAAGAATTCCCCATAGTTCTTTAAGAAGTACAAAGAAGTGAGTCTAGCATAGATTTTTTTTTTTAGATTATTGTTAATATTGGGCACCTGTGTTTTGGGCATTGTTGAGGCCTTACATCATTGGCAATATTGCATGCATGGTATCTGGGATTGCATGCAGCAGGCATTTAGACAGTATATCTGTGCCTTCTATAACAAAGCTGATGTTTGACTCAGAGTCAAGGGATATTTTTGACATCTGGAGAATATGTTGTTTAAAGGGATTGTATATATAGCATATTAATGTAGCCAAGAACAAGAACACCAATCAAGGACCAAAACAAGAACAAGGGATTAAAAGAGAGAAAATAATATTTAAACACAGGGCTATCATCCTGTATAAAATTAGAGACTTAAAACATGATTGGCGCTGGGCGGCGGTGGTGCACGCCTTTAATCCCAGCACTCGGGAGGCAGAGGCAGGCGGATCTCTGTGAGTTTGAGGCCAGCCTGGGCTACCAAGTGAGTTCCAGG